TAGTTTACCAAAATACTCCTCTGGATGATGTCCACACTGTATCTTCATGTTGTCATTCCATTTCACAACCAGGCGTTCTAGACTAGGAAATGTAGCCTGAGAAATTGACACGAGTTAAGAAGGCAATCCAAACTTTAAATAAATCTATTATTCTTTGATAAATTTGTCATTTCTAAGTTTTACAATAAATCTTGATTTTGGAAAAAAAAATAATTTTTACACTTATTTCTAACCATAAAAATTGATTTCCACATTTTTTTGTCGTTGAAAAATCACTTCATCTCACATAAACTCATCTATTTTTTCTTTCCTAATTATTGTTTTGTTTTTGCAATTCTTCCATTTTTCTATTACTCCAATTTCAAGAAACAATAAATTATTATTTAGGTGATTGCTATGTAAAAAATCTTTAATTATATAATCATATAAGTCAACTTCCAAAATATTCTTGTAACAAATTTTTTTAATTTAAAAACTATTATTCACTTAAATTAGATGAAAGACCTGAGTATTAAAATGCAAAAGAATTGATTTTTTAAATAGCTTTTTACTCATGATAGCCAGAAATTAAATTATATGGAGCTTACTCTCAATATAGGATTAGGATAACAAAATTTTTGCTAGTATCAGAAAAAATGAGGGCAAAACATTTTTAGATTAGGGTGATCAATCTCTACAAGTAGGAATTCAAAACAAGATTGAGATATTTTTTTACAAGTTTTGATAATTTTGTTTCTTTATCTTCAAAATAAAATAAAATTAACACACAGGGAAAACAAATGGAAAATTTTCTTTATTCTGTCTTCATATATTTACTTTTCCTATTTTCTTTCATTCATTTATTTTAAGAACAAAAATGAAGAGCATGTATTTGTATAAGATATGTCCACTTTTTTCCTTCTGGACTTGATTGTACTTACCTTGCTAATCCAAAACATGAGATGTTGAGATTCCCTTTCAAGTTGGCTGTCTTTATGTGTCATCTCAGTTCTTGAAGCAACTATTTGTGCTCCATGACAGTCGATCACAACTAAAAGTTCCAATGATGGCCATTCTGTGATGTGCGTTTGAGGGAAGAAACTCTTGAATTTCGGTAAGAGTCTAAGTATCAGCTCCGTCACTTGAGAAAATACAAGCTCGGTGGCCTCTGTTTCCACCAAAGTCGATTGCGTGGCTAGCAGTTTTTGTGATCTGGTATCAAAATTGACTCTTTCAGAGTCAGAAATTTTTCCTAGAGAATCACAATTGGAGCAAAATGTTGCAAGTTGGGGTAGGTCATTAAGTATCAAGGTCTCTAGTTTGGGGAACACCGTCTGGCAAATCTTTTCTTCTTCCACTGTCCCTTCTGTCAATATTACCACTTCCATCATCTCACATCCACTAACCCCAAGTTCTTCAAGTTGTGCAAAACTTTTAACCATTGAGAATGTAAACAGATACTTTAAATTGGAACAGTTGACCACCTTCAACTTTGTTAAATTTTGAGCAAATGAAGATATTGATGAAAGATGACTGTTCCAAATTTGCTTTGTATTGATTGAGGATAGAGTCAACTTCTCCAAGTTAGGAATCTCAACCTACAAAGAAGTTTTAATTTCAATAAAACTTTTATTCTTGAATCAAAGAAAAGTGTAAAAATGACATGAGAGCATAATCTTGAATTTCATACGATATAAATTTTGATATAGAAAAATTTAGTTTACGAGGAATAACAATACACATGTTCTTATTTTCGCTAAGACTTTGACCTTTGTGCATCAAATACATTTATGTCCATAATTATTGAAGTGATGTAGAAGAGTGGAAATTATACTCTATGAAAGAAGTGTAGTGAAGTCTTGCCCTTGTCCAATTTGTGAAAAAATATTAAAACAATAAAAAATAAAAAATAAAACTCACCTCATCACAAAAGAAAACCTCAATGAAGATATTAGGTTCTTTCTTGACAAGCAATTCCTCACGTCTTCCATCAGTTGTCTCTTTCTCTTGCTCACTTGAAAATTTAAAACTGAATCTAACCATCTTTAGACAATCCTTTACAATAATTTTCTC